TGAACAATTTAAATAGTTTTTTGTTGGTAACCGCTGCATGCCACCTCTCGGGGTTCCACACCCCATCCTCGAGGTAGGCCCTAGAGATGTTACTGGGCCAGGCCTGCGCGAGGGGTGAGTCGCGCAGGGCCAGCAGGACCGTCTTAGGGTACATAAGTCCGGCAAAGGGAGTCCATGGCACAGAAGGGAAGATGTTATTATGACTCATGGACTTCAATTCCCAGAATTCCTGAGTCAGCATAGCATAGCTGACTCAGGAATTCTGGGAGTTGAAGTCCATGAGTCATAAAAGAGCCGAGGTTGGGTTGCCTACCCCTGGTCTAAACTAAACTGGACAGTGTGTCTTAAATTCTTCCCAAATTTCTGGCAGATATTCAGAACGATGTACTAATACCTTTTTTTTTTTAGTTTTAACTCTGATGTTGCCCTCTATGCTGAGAAGAATTACATTTTTAGCTGCTCATCCTTTGAGATGTTCAGAGTAGCAAGGAAATGCTCAGATTCAAGACTTGGAAGTCATTAAGACAAGAAGCTTTGCACTCTTTCTGAAATATTCTGTACTCTTGAAAAGCTGCACTTAGGAGTCTACCCTTTTCAACAAGTTTTGGGGTGCCAAACTGTAACGGGAAAGGGAGAATATTGGGCATCTGCAGCTTGATATGAACCAAGATGTATTAGCAGTATAGAAGCTCACTGTTATTCTATATACAGTATGTTATTAATAACATGCAACAAGAAGTGATGAGGACTAAAGGATGGGAATTCAGATGCTGGATGGCAAGAGACTCTATCTGGGGAGTAGCTATGGGCATTATTATCACACCCCTTACTTAAAGTCTAGATGCAATCAGAGACACAAACAGATCATTGATCTGATTTAAATTTTGTGAACAGATTTATCTTTTGAAGAAGTACATTATTACTCTGTTTTGGATTAATATAAAAAGAAAGTGTTGAAGATGTTCTTCCTTAGAACAGAGGTCCCCAACCTTTTGGGCACCAGGGACCAGTTCCGTGGAGAAAGTTTTTTCCCACGGACCATAAAATGCATGGTTTTGTGTGCTGCCTGCATCCCACGGATGGGGCTTTGCTTGTTTGTGCAGCCCGGATGCTGGCATGCTACGGCCCGGTACCGGTCCATCAACTGGGGGTTGGGGACCCCTGCCTTAGAATATTTGGGAATAAACAACTTAGTTTTTTCTCTGTCCCTGTTGAATTAATGTGTACCTATATACAAATCAAGACCTGCTACGCTTTATTATTTGTTTTATTTCAATCATGCTTGTGACTGAATAACTTAAGAGAGGCCATGGAACTCCTTCTGAGTTCCTTTGGAACTTTGAAAACATATACATTTGGAGAGAATTTCTGCTATAGTGGCCAATCAAAAAGAAGGCAGTCCATTCATGCAGAAAATTCTGCCTTTTAATTGTTGTTCCTCTAAAACTTAATGCATTCTATATAATTGCCCATTAATTAGAAAAGCCAGAATATATAATTTCAAAAGCTTTGCAGCTATTTTGAAGGGCTTTACTCCAACAGAAACCTGGAGAAAAGCTTACTACTCTCAAATGCACCTACCGTTTTGACAAAGAGGCTGAATCATAGTCTCAGCATGTATGAGCCATTCATAGGACTAGTTAAACTTGTACCTGACCTTTTGATTTCAGCTGATAAAAACTGGGCTTTAAGTGCAGTGGCAGTGTACCAGAAATACAACAAGGAATTAATACATACAAAAATAATGCAAGGCTGGCGTGCAGTACACCCCTTTTATTAAAATTTCAATATTTTTTTTTATTTTAATTGGTATTATGTAGATTTAACAAATTGTCATATGTATATACATATCTTTCAGTGTCAACAGCACTCTATAGAGCAGGGGTCTTCAAACTTGGCCCTTTTATGACTTGTGAACTTCAACTCCCAGAATTCCTCAGCCAGACATGAAGTCCACAAGTCATAAAAGGACCAAGTTTGAAGACCCCTGCTGTAGAGCATAACCAAGGAGTAAGAAATAATAAGAAATTAAAGGTATACGATAAAAAGAAAAGGAAATGGAAACATAACTACATCTAGTTAATAGAAAGTCCATTCATACTATTGCAGCCTTGCAAGCAAACCTCTTTTTGCCCCATTTATACATCATGTTGTAGATGCTTTCTGTTCTTTAACTCCTCACTTCTTGCTTTCTGAAGATCTCATCAACTCCATCCAACTATAACGTTCTCAATCTTACTCTCGGTTTACTTTCATTTATTCCTCTTTCATAAGTTTTAGGTTTCAATTCTTCTCCGTGGGACAAGACCACATGTCTCTTTCGCGTTAATGAACACGAAAGGGGAGTTAGTTTATTGCGCTACGGGCAGAATATTAGAGAAGAGAAGGATGCTGTAGAGAAATTAGTGGATTTATTTTTTTCCCCTGACTTATAAACTTCTGAAATTTTCACAGCAGGGAAACCATTTTTTACCCGGAACCCATCTGAACTGAAAGGCAAGTTCATTCACACCAAACTGAGGAAAAGCAGCAGAGGCTTTGGTTTCACTGTGGTCGGCGGTGATGAACCAGATGAATTTCTACAGATAAAGAGTTTGGTGCTTGATGGGCCTGCAGCACTGGATGGCAAGATGGAAACAGGTAGCCTGTCAGACACGAGAGGTTTCTCTGCTTTAATGGGGGATTAGCCATGGGAAAGTAGGGTAGTCACCTGCATTTAAATCATGTTAGTTAATTTCTGTCTCAAAGCAAAGGAAGGGAAATAACACATTCCTTGGGATAAAACTAGGAGTTCCATTCCACAGTTTTGTTCCGTACGCTTTACGGTGCATTTTGCCAACTATTCTGGAAGATGTGAGTTCCTTGTTTAAAAATAAAATAAAATTTCATGTCAGCTCAGTGGCAGTTATCATTGATGGAAACTAGATGAAATAAAGAGCAGAGACAGAGCCCGTTTGGTATAGTGGTTAAGGTACTAAGTTAGAAACCGGGAGACCGGGAATTCTAGTCCCACCTTAGGCACAAAGCCAGCTTGGCCAGTCACCCTTTTCAGCCCTAGGAAGGGGACAACTGCAAGCTACTTCTGAAATCTGGTCAAGGAAACTGCAGGGACTAGTTTAGGCAATCACCAGGAATCAAGGTTGACTCAAAAGCACTTTTTTTTAAAAAAAAGAGGAACAGAAATAAAAAAGAAGACCAGTCCCATAACCTCTGTACACCTAATTATCTTGTAAATATAATGAAAATAATGAAATATTCAATCAAGAGTCCCTTTAACTAATGCAATGCCAGAGAAAACTTACTAATCTACCAGAATCTAAAGCTCAATTATTCTATTTTGGCCAAAAGTGTTCTTTTCTTTTCTTTTCTTTTCTTTTCTTTTCTTTTCTTTTCTTTTCTTTTCTTATTTTATTTTATTTTATTTTATTTTATTTTATTTTATTTTATTTTATTTTATTTATTTTATTTTATTTTATTTTATTTTATTTTATTTTATTTTATTTTATTTTATTTTATTTTATTTTATAGAAAAGATAATGGTTAGAATGTCAAGCAGGTTATGGTGTCTTTATTTAATGTGTCTATATATTGTCTATATATAGCACTATAAGCAGGTTATACTGCCAAATCAAGCTATTACAATTTAGAAGCAAAATATTACAATCTGCAGAATGTCTTAATAGCAGAGAATTAAATTGAAAAGATAGAGTGTATCTTGAAACATGTGCTACGTCAAAGCCAAAATGTTCTGCCATTTTTGTAGACAGAATTCAGAGCAAAGCCCTCCCCTGTGTGACTCATAATTGAACACACACAATATAGTACTGCTGCACTTAACAAACCTTTTGAAGGGACAAAACATTAGAGCTTAAAAATGCAAACAGTAGATTTCCAGGGCACTGAAGGATAATCCCATATCTGCTTAAAACCTCATTTTATATAGGCAAAAGAGTTTTATGTAAGCAATTTCTTTTTCAGAAATAAAAACATCAACATGTTTCTTCCCAAGTGAACCGAACTGTAACGCAATCAATCAAAAAAATATTTTTGAAATGTTTTAAAACAACTAAAAGCAAGAATTCCCTAGTCGTGACGCTGTCTGCTGAAACCAGTGCAGTCTTTTTCAGTCATCATAATAAATTCTGCTTTTTTAAAAAGTATTTATCAGTAAGTTAGTTTATTCTCATTCAAGAATGAAATTTATATTATTCTAGGAATATTTCCATGTTGGAATATATTTACTACTATAACAGTGTTTCTTCCACTTTATGTGGCATGCTATTATTGTCCCCACTTCCTTCCTGGGGAATTTTAAAATCTAAGAAAAGTAGAGGTAGTCTTTGACTAAGTTACAGCCATTCATTTAGTGAACATTTGAAGTTACAACAAATATCCCCAAAATGCTGTGAATAGAAATATGCACACAAAACATTGAATTCTACAGTATCACCCACAGCATTAAACACAGATCCAAATCCAGTATTTGTTGTGGTGAAAAACTGGCCATATAAATTTTAGTTTCACAAAAAGAAAAAATATTATAATATCCGAATATGCATTTTGATGAGCTAAAATCATTCTTTGTCTCTGTTACATAGCATTTTGGGTTATGCGATGCCAAGATAAATGAACTTCCTGGATTCATTTCCTTGATCAATGCATTTAAAGAAATATATATGATCATCAAAGGTTTCTAACTCTGGACGTTGGGTTCCCAAATATTTTCAGTAATATATATTTGATAAAACTACTACTGGTTTTAATTACTGTTCCGCCTCTTTACTTTTGCTATGCACTGAATGAAACAAGAAGCTTGTATGTATAAACTAACAGAGTTTCAACCGTCTGTTCTGTAGGAGATGTTATTGTCAGCGTGAATGACACATGTGTACTGGGCCACACCCACGCCCAAGTGGTCAAAATCTTCCAGTCAATTCCTATTGGAGCCAGCGTGGACCTAGAACTGTGCCGAGGCTATCCTCTGCCTTTTGACCCAGATGATCCCAACACAAGCCTGGTGACATCTGTGGCCATCTTGGATAAAGAACCAATCATTGTAAATGGGCAAGAAAGCTACGACTCTCCGGCAAGCCATGGTAGTAAAACAGGGAAGGTCAACGGGACAAAAGAGCAGAGACCTAGCAGTCCCACTGAGGTTTCTTCCAATGGATCCCACGGCTACCCCAATGACACCGTCTCTTTGGCTTCTTCTATAGCAACGCAACCTGAACTCATAACTGTACATATAATTAAAGGGCCAATGGGCTTTGGCTTCACTATAGCAGACAGTCCTGGAGGTGGGGGACAGAGAGTGAAGCAAATTGTCGACAGCCCAAGATGCCGAGGCCTAAAAGAAGGGGACCTTATAGTTGAAGTGAATAAAAAGAATGTGCAGAATCTAACTCACAACCAAGTTGTGGATATGCTGATTGAATGTCCTAAAGGAAGTGAGGTGACACTGCTGGTACAGCGAGGAGGTAGGTCCCAATTTTTATTTTTATTTTTTAAATTTAAGACCAAAGTACTCTACTTAAAGCATTGGTGTCTAAATATACATGACTAGTTTAAATTGACTAAAAAGAATTATAGCTGTTGGCTTTTAATTTAAATATTTTTAAACAGCATTGTGAAATAACAAAATATTGCGTAATCTTATTTTGAGTTAGTCCTGGTATTTGCTTTTATTTATTTATTTGTTTGTTTGTATCCTTCCCACACACACACTTTATTATTTTTACAAGTACAGTAACTCAAGGCAGAGAACATAAATGCATTAGAAAGTTTGCCCATGGTATCAATTTTTTTCAGATATATAAACACTACAGGCAGTTCTCGACTTACATTTCATTTAATGATCATACAAAGTTACAACGGCAGTGAAAAAAGTGACTGATGACCTTTTTCACACTTACAAAACCATTGCAACATTGCCATGGTCATGTGATCAAAATTCATATGCTTGGCAACTGGTTCATATTTATGACAGTTGATGTGTCCTGGGGTCATGTGATCGGCTTTTGCAAACTTCTGACAAGCAAAATCAATGGGGAAGCCAGATTCACTTAACAACCGTGTTAGTAACTTCACTTAACAATTGTGGCAAGAAAGGTCATAAAATGGGGCAAAATTCAACCAATGTCTCACTTAACAACATAAATTTGGGGCTCAGTTGTGTTCATAAGTCGAGGACTATCTGTATTTAGCAATTGATGGCTATGTTACAGGCATAGATGGCATTTAAACTTTCTTGACCTGAATATGATTAGATGGGAGTTGGCTTGTTTGCTTACTGAAATGTTAAAAATAGCCATTTTTCATGAAAACTTTGAACTTGTCGAAGTCAGCTGATTCATAATGTGTCTCATTTCTGTCCATTTTTTTTAGTACATTTCAATTGACCATTTTATTACAGAATTGTAAGAAGGGATTTGCTGTCACCTTGCTTCAGTTGTTAGGCTCACCTTCCTATTACTACAGAAAATTCACTTAATTCTTGGTACTTAAATACATGTTTGTTTCTCCATGTTCTCCATTGCTTTGATGTATAAAGGAAGAGCCATTCATCTTTGGACTCCATCTATCTTTTTTCACAGAGTACATCCCAATCGGTCTAGAATTAAAAACAGACAATATTTTGGGCCTGTGGATTCAATTGGATATTTCTGTGATTGTAAGACCTTACCATACGATAACATTGAGGGAGGTGTTGATTTGCAAAATGGCTGCTAGGATGGATCTGGCCATTATAGATTATTTATTCATCAAAAGGCAAACAGAGTGGGTTTGCCTCTTCTCTAGCTTGAATCTACCAGAATATTTATACTACAATATTCCAAGTTATCTTGTTTTATTATTTTAAATTTTCCAAGAAAGTGAAGGGACTAATATGTAGCCTAAAAGCAATTTTGGATAACTTATGATGTGCATATTGACTCTGATGGGTTATCAGAGGACGATTCACAAGCACAAGGGACCTATGGATACCACACAAGGGACCTATGGATACCACAGCGCTTAGTCTGCACAAGGTGGTCTTGGAAAGAATGTGCATATCCCCACATTGGTTGTACTGTTTGTCTAGTTTCTTTAGTTAAGGTGGGTATTCTGATTGTGGGATGTGCATGTAGTCATTTAGTGTCAAGCACCAAGGAAATCAGGAGATCCAGGCAGTTACAATAAAGATTTATTGTAAGCTTAAGCTCTCTCCTAGAATCTGAACTAGTAACAGTCAAAGGAAATTAGCAGGAGTTAAGAATAGAAAGGAATCCAAGGTGGGCTGGACTTAGACCTCTTGTGAGCATGAAGGGACTCATTACTGATGACGTATTTCACCCCTCCCTCAGCCTCAGTCTGGTCAACTCCTACATCTAGTAGTGTATTTGTGGCTGCAGTCCCCAACCTCAGGATAGGTAGGGCTGATATTTCAGAAGCATTTCTTGGATTAGAGACTAATGGGTCAAATGGTGCCTTAAACCTTGCAGAATCTAATTGCACTTATTTCATCCTTCGAAATCTCCCAATCCCTCCAGATGCTGGATCAATTTTTCCATTTGGAGAGGCTGAGAGACAAAATCAGATAAAATTTTTGCCAGTGGAAATTATAATACGTGCATTTTATCTTCTTAATCTTATTCTTCAAAGTAAAACACGGATCTGAAGGTAACTGCCAATTTTCACGCAACATTTCTGATCATTCCTCCTGATCTTCCAAGCAGAGCAGAAAGTGTAGCCTTTAGACTGAAAACACCCCCAGGGTGTTAGTCACCTTCTGTTCTAGTGACTTTGTAATAAAAACTTCTCAGTTTCTGTTCACCCGTATTGATAATTCATCAAGCCCTTGGTATGTGTAATCACCCAAAGCTCTTAAAATTGACTTCCACCTCTCTTTAGGTCAGGACATCTCTCCATCACCTTCTCTTATCTGCAGCACCACAATAACAAGCAGATCATTGGAAATGCTGATCATTTCTTTATCTCTGATTTTCACTTCCTGTGTATGTGTAGCTATGCAATTCATTGTTTCCATCTGCATAGTGGGATTTCTCATTTCAGTGTCATAGATTATGAAAGGTTATCACATTCTACTTAAACATTGTCGAATCTCTATTGTTGCTCTTGAATACCTCGAGGAGTTTAGTATTCTGTTGCATAGTAAGAATCTTACCCTAGACATTGGAAGAGATGTTGAAGCTGCCAGCTATAATAATAATAATAATAATAATAATAATAATAATAATAATAATAATAATAATAATAATAATAATAATAATAATAATAATAATAATAATAATAATAATAATAATAATAATGATGATGATGATGATAAAGTTGGAAGGGACCTCGGAGGTCACCTAGTCCAACCTCCTGCTCAGGCAGGAAACCCTATACCATTTCGGACAAGTGTCTGTCCAGTCTCTTCTTAAAAACTTCCAGTGTTGAGGCATTCACCGCTTCTGGAGGCAGGTTGCTACACTGGTTAATTGTTCTAACTGTCAGGAAGTTTCTCCTTAGTTCTAGGTTGCTTCTCTCTTTGGTTAGTTTCCACCCGTTGCTTCTTGTCCAAAAAAAGATGCATGAAGAACAAAAGATGAAAATCCCCTAATTTGATAGTTCCAACTCCAAAATGGAAAACTTACATTATGGCAGACATGACTAGCTAAAGTTGCCTGTTTGCTTGTTATTGTTATTAGACAGACAGACAGACAAGACAGCTTAACCTTGGCTAGAGGAAAAAAATATCCAGGGTATGATTTAGAGCAGCGGCCCCCACTTTGAGCACCAGGGACCGGTTCTGTGGAGAGAGGATTTTTTGTGGACCGGAGGGGGCGTGGTTTCGCGTGCTGCTTGCATCCTGTGGATGGGGCTTTGCTTGTTTGTGTGGCCCGGTTTCTAGCAGTGCTGGTCCACAGATTGGGGATTGGGGACCCAGGGACCCCTGATTTAGAGCACCATAATGTTTCCATGCCATCCGAACCAATTGCTTTTCAGGTACCACTGAACTTATGACCATTTGGTTACAACAGCACTGAAAAAAAGAGTTACAACTAGGTTCACATATCTGTCCATTGCAGCGTTTTCCACATCACGTGATCAAACTTCAGGTGCTGGGCAACTGACATGTATTTGTGACAGTTGCAGTGGTCCCTAGATCATGTGATCCTCATTTGTGACTTTCCCAGCCAGCTTTTGGCAAGCAAAATCGATGGGGCAAGCCAGATTCGCTTAAAAACTGTGTGCTTCACTTTAACAAGCATGGGATTTGCTTAATGGCTGCAGCAAGAAAAGGTCATAAAATTGAGCAAAACTCACTTAAAAACTGTTTTGCTTAAATTGCTTGGAATACTGCATCCAGCTTTGGTCATCACGATGTAAAAAAGATGTTGAGACTCTAGAAATAGTACAGAGAAGAGCAACAAAGATGATTACGGGACTGGAGGCTAAAACATACAAAGAACGGTTGCTGGAATTGGGTATGTCTAGTTTAATGAAGAGAAGGACGAGGGGGGACATGATAGCAGTGTTCCAATATCTCAGGGGCTGCCACAAAGAAGAGGGAGTCAAGCTATTCTCCAAAGCAGGACAAGAGGGCAGGACAAGAAGCAATGGATGGAAACTAATCAAGGAGAGAAGCAACCTAGAACTAAGGAGAAACTTCTTGACAATTAGAACAATTAACCAGTGGAACAACCTGCCTCCAGAAGTGGTGAATGCTCCAACACTGGAGGTTTTTAAGAAGAGACTGGACAGCCATTTGTCTGAAATGGTGTAGGGTTTCCTGCCTGAGCAGGGAGTTGGACTAGATGACCTCCAAGGTCCCTTCCAACTTTGTTGTTGTTGTTGTTGTTATAAATTCTAGTCCCAATTGTGGTTGCAGGTCCAGGTATAGAAAAGAATGAGTGTTTTTTACAAGTACATTAAGAGCACACACAAAAGTTTTAAGGGCATCCTTGAATTTTCCAGAGCCATTTGTTTTATGTAAATAAGATAACCAAAAATACAACCGTAATGCTCCAGTATTTTTTTAGTAGATGTTTTGGAAAGGAAATTTTGACAGACATCACCCCCATTCTGTCAGCGAGAAGAGCGTCACTTGTGAAAACTCCTCCTTCTACACAACTCTGTTCTTTTTCACTTCACTTCCCCCCTGTTCTTTCCTCGATTGTGCTGCCAGGAAAGTTCATGTGATACACAATTTCTCATTTTTGTTGGGCTTCCTCTGGGAGGGATTTCTGGCTCTCGGTTTATAATCAAACTCTTTCCATCATTCTTGAAATACACACTGTTTGGGCTACCTCTCCTTCTGATATCCATTTGGAAACCGCACCTGGGAAAATGCTTCACTCTCAGGCAGGGGCGGGCAACTATGTCACCTTTATGACCTGTGGACTTCAACTCCCAGAATTCCTGAGCCAGCATGGCTGGCTCAGGAATTCTGGGAGTTGAAGTCCACCGGTCGTAAACTGCTATAGTTGCCCAT